TGCGAATGTCCTATACTTGGACTCAGTTGTTTTTGAATTTTCCTCCAGGGCAGTGAATGTCTGCTTAAGATAATTTCCCTATCTTCAAGCAGTTTTCTAACTGATATAGGGAGAAGTCCCTCTGCTGTGGTCAGTATTCTAAAAGGGATACCTCTTTGCTTCAAACTGAGTTTCAACAGCAAAGCTTAAAGATTCCTTGACTAGAATTAATTAAATCTTTTGTGTAAAAACAATCTGGTTCAGAAATGCTGAAATCTTTGGTCATGTATTCTTAAATAAGAAAGCCCAGAGCTTGTAACCCAAAATATTGCTCCTAAGAAAGCAGAACTCATAGTTTTTACATTTTTAACTGAAAAAAGGTAAAAATTAAGGGAACATTAGTTTATAGCACTGTGTATGATTTAGAGGTATAGGATCACACCTCTTTAGATGTATGTCACTACACTAAACCCACCACCAAGGCACCCATTCTCCTCTCCACTGTGCTCCCTCCCCCACTCCCACTCCTGTAGCCTCAATTCTATAGTCAGATTTCTAGGGTTTGTTACTGGTTTGGTTTTGTCTGACTCAGTTTTTTTTTTTTTCCCTATATATACCACACACAATTGAAACCATCCAGTATTTGTCATTTTCCTTCTGGCTTTTTTCATTTAGCATAATCCCCCTGCATTTATATTCATGTCAAAAATTGTGACAGAATATTTTAATCTGCTTTACAGTAACTAGTACTGTACCAAATGTGAAGTTGTAATTTATTCGTGTCATGCATTTGCAAGCAAGCAAGATGAATCATAACTGCTAGCCTTACAAATATTATCATTCATTGTTATGCCAGGTATCCTTTTCCCAAGAAACAAAGGAAGGTATTTATAATTAGTAGAGAACGTGCTCCTTAAAGGTCTTACTTGCAGATAGCAACTGAAAATAGTAAATATGCTAAAGAACAGACCACAGAAAATAGGAAATTTATGTAGCTAAGACATATTAAAACAAATAATACTTTACACACGAATACACATCTAGGTGTTTGGTTTAGAAGTATAATTTTCATACAGATTTGAGATGTAGTATGCTGCAGTGAAATTAACAATAGGCAAAGAGTCAAGAATCCTAGGTTCTAGTTGTTTTTAATCATAAAAATTTGTTTAAGAACACTGTTACATTTCCTTGCTCCTAAATTCCCTCTTCTTTAAAGCAAAAAAGAACACTTGATCTCAAAGTTGCCTTCTTACTGTAATATTGTAAATATTTCATGTTATTCCTTCCTACAGTTAACAGAAATCTATGATCTTGACAGCAATAATTTTCAGTATTTCTGTGTATAATTTATTGTTAGTTTTCTGGGATTATTGTTGAATCTTCTCAGATATATAAAGAAACAATTTTTGAGATGTTACAGTTCTAAACTGATTCATAGATTCAGTGGTTCTGGAGCTCTAAGGAAACATGGGCTTTCCTTTATGGATACCTGTAATTGTGTGTGTCAGAGTATTTGCAGAGACAATATAGTTGGGATTTCAGAGAACTGTGAATGTCTTTTAGTCCTCCTACCCCATAATTTCTCTACTCAGTGATTGATGGATGAGATTCAATAGTTAGGAATTTCATTTATCTGAAATAAAAATGAACTATGAAGGCTTGTTCACCAAAATGCAAATATTGTTGGTAAAGAGAACTTTCAAAGTGCAGAGAGAATGACCTAATCCTTTTTCAGGGGTGAGATCTCTTACCATCAGTAAGGGAACGACAGGCTATTCTTGACTCAGACAATTCAATTTATAGGATAGACATTTGATATGTCAGTCTGTTCTGTCGTAAAACATATGCATAAAATGCTGTGGGAACATGGAGAAGTGGTATTTCATCAAACTTGGAAAAGAAGTGGACATCAGGAACTTCTTCATGGGGGGAGAAGCTTCTTAAGTTTACTCTTTAAGAACACATAGTTGGCCTCCCCGGTGGCACAGTAGTTGAGCGCTGGATTGCGAAGCTGCCCGCAGCCTTTGCAGCGCCGGTTCGATCCCCGGCTGCTCCCCGACCACCGGAGGAGGGTCCCACATGGCGCGCAGACCTCTCCTGCCGCCCGCTGCTCCCCTCAGCAGTGTGCTTCGGTCCTTCTGCCTGCTCTGCTCCCTGCTCTGGCTCTGGTGAATTCTCTCACCCTCCTGTGCTTCTGACTGTACCCAGTGCTTATATAAATAAATAAATAATTAAAAACAAAAAAAAAAAAAAAAAAAAAAAAAAAGAACACATAGTTGGGGGGAATGGAGAGATGTTGGTCAAAGGGTGAACTAAAATAATATGGGGGGCCTCCCCGGTGGTGCAGCGGTTGAGCGCTGGGTTGCGAAGCTGCCCGCAGCCTCTGCAGCACTGGTTCGATCCCCGGCTCCTCCCCGGCCACCGGAGGAGGGTCCCACATGGCACGCAGACCTCTCCTGCCACCCGCTGCTCCCCTCAGCAATGTACTTCAGTCCTTCTGCCTGCTCTGCTCCCCGCTCTGGCTCTGGTGAATTCTCTCACCCTCCTGCGCTTCTGACTGTACCCAGTGCTTGTATAAATAAATAAATAAATCTTTAAAAAAAAAATAAATAAAATAAAATAAAATAATATGGGATTGGGGATGAAGAAGTAGGGATGAATTTAAGAAGAAAGAAGAAACAAACAAGTATTGTAGAGGTAAAGGAAATAAGTTAATATTGGTCATAATAAATTTACTAGCAGCGGATATATATTTGGCATATGCATTTGGAGCTCAGGTAAGGTTTGGGCAGTGTTACAGATTTAGAAATTTTTAGTAGGTGGTATGTGAAACCATTGGCATGAATGGACTTATCTAAAGTGAATGACACAAGATGTGAATTAGCCTAAGAAACAAATATTACATTGTTTACCTGTCTCTTCTGCATTACTCTGAGATCCATGGGGCAGTTTATATATCTTTGTATATAGCCAGGACTTAACATATTATCTGACAATTAGTAAATGTTTAATAAATAGTTGGATTACATCATTCTATATGGGGTTATTTTCTAAATAACTCGTCAAAGTGCCCAGCAGGTTTAATTGCAATACTTTTGCATTAAAAACTGATCTTGATACAACTCAAAGGTTAAATTCAAACCTATTAGTTTTCATCATCACAGGTGGAAACACTTGACAAGGAAGTTAATCACCCATGAAGAGTTTGCTTATTATGAATGACAAGGGATTTGATAAACAAATGAAGGGGAAATAAGTATATGAAGGGAAAAGGAAATTCATGTGACAGTATTTTTTTCAGATGAAAAATAGAAATGGCCATTCCCCAACTCAGCCTTAATTTTAAAATGCTAGAAATTTTGTCTAAATGTGAGTTAGGGTACACAATGAGATTTTTCTAAGGACAGATGTTAAGGGAAACCCCTGAAATTATAAGAGGCCAGGGTTGGCCAATTTATTTTTATGATAGGAAAAGTATTAAGTTTTTGCAACTTTTTTATACCCATATTTCTGAAAATACCTTCATGTTGATTGAAAAAAAATCTAAATTTCTATTTTATAATACAAAGAAACCCATTTCATCAAATTGATTTCTGAAATCACATGATTTTGGATTAATTCTCTAGTAAGTTTTCAAATTGTTATTTCTTTACAAGTAAAACAAAACAAAATAAAAGGTTTAAGCCTAATGATACAGATATACTAAAAGAATATAATAAGTCAAATGTTAGCTTTATATATCATCAAATAACTGATGGATAAGAATACATCTAAACTTATAAATCACAAGCATAAGTATGAACTATATAAGAACAATTTTTGTTAAGTGTTGTCAGGGACCAAAGAGCTAGAATATAGCACTTAATATTTTACTAGTGTTACTTTGGGGGGAGGGGGAGGATGGAGGGATTAGAGTCAAAATAAGGGGAGTGGGAATTTAACCAAGATGAAAATGCATACATTGGGCAAAAATAAAAATGATGTAAAAAATATATAAAATAAAATAATAAAAAAATGAACAATGATGTAAAAAAATATATAAATAAAAAGAAAATTGAAAATTAAAAAATATTTTACTAGTGTTAGATATTTTAATTCTAACACAATTTTTTATGTCATCTTATCACTTCTTTATTTTACTGATGAAGAGTATATTATATAATGTGTTGTAGAAAGACTAGAGAGATTAGAAAAGAGAATGTTAAAGTCTTGAGACCTAAGTCCTATTCTTTTTCTGTTGTAGTTGAGTCTGAGTTTCCTTGCAGAAAAATCAGGGTATTTGAGGATCCTCTTTAATGTTGAGTACAGTTTGAGTTTTTATGACTTATAACTAAAGTCCCTTATTTGTAAAATCAATCCTTTTATATTATTTTCAATTGCATAACAAAAACAAGAAATCACATTTTACTGTATTAAATACAAGTTCTATGTTGAATTTTTGGAAAGGAAGTGGTTGATCAAAAACTGAGTATATTGGTGAATATCACCTTTCTATTGTCTTTCTACAATCTGGTCTCAAAGTGCTACTAAACTAAGCAGAAAATGAGAAGATGGATAAAGCAGAAAAACTGAGATCAGAATGGTTACTCAGTGACCCATGGATAAATTAATGTAGTTTTTATATTTTACATTAAAGAAAAACATGTTTTCCTTTCTGGAAAACATGACTACAAGACACATTGGTCATCTCCAATTTCTGACCAGAATTATACCAGACAGACAATTTCTTTCACTCAGAGCTGATCATTCTCTCTTTAGAGTAATGGTATTGTGATAGACAGGAGAAACACAATTGGTATTTTTCCCCATTTTTTATGAAAAGGAAGCTTTATGAGTGCTTTATTCTGTATACTACTAAGACTCATTTAAAGTTGAGTAAAATAAGAGGCAAAAAGAATGATAATAAATTTGACAATGGCTAATAACATTTCCCTTTCAAGAAAACTGTGTATTAATATTTTATGTCTTACTTCAAAAAAAAAAAGGAAAGGCAATAGACAAACATAATAGTACCATAGTACCTCGATAATTGATGATTTCTGTCCCAAGCACCGGAGTCATCTCCAGGACTGTGATGAAGGCTTTGTCCATAGATGTTAGAGGAAAAGGAGACATGCGGTGTCTTCTAGCCACCTTGGTGATATCGACAGCACTGTGACCTAAACAGGAAGACAACTATCTAAGAATATGATGCTGAAACACTGAATAAAAAGGGGTGAATAGCAACAATTCTCAATTTCATATGTCCCCAAAAGAAGAGTATAAAATGAGATATTTTCTCCTGTTTCCAAAATTTAGCCTGCTTGGATGGCACATAAGTCAAGCTAGCAATGTTATATCATGTGTTAAAACTTAGTGAAACTTGATATTGGCCAAACAACTTTGAGTGCTTACTATGCGTTGTAGCACTGTTCTAATTTAAATCATTAATCTTCACAACAACTGAATGGGGAGAAATGATTTTCCTTCTTTGCTGATGAAAGAGATTTAAAGAGATAACATTATCTTGGCCCAACTCACAGAAGTAGTACAGAAGAGAAAGGATTCAAACCTGGGTACTCTTGAGTTCGAAGTCCATGTCCTTAACTACTATACCAAACTTTGAACAGTTAATGAGCTAGTTAGTAAAATGAAAACATCTTATATTGAATTTATTTAGGATTTCAAATTTTTCTTTCTTCTAAAAAAGGCATAGGAAAGTATAGTATTATTTAGCTATGCACTCCCTACATAACCTCACCCACATACTAAAACTCCCAATTCCATATCTCCATTCCCAACCTCTACTCTCATCTCTAGATTTAGATATCATCAAATAGCCAGTGCATAAGAATATCCTTTTTTAACCTTATAAATTACTTATATTCAATTGGGAATGTAACAGGCAATTCAAATTTAACATGTTTGAAATCACTCTTGATTCCTCATTCTCCTATCCTACTCACATGATGTCTTATTCTCTTGCAGTTCCCAACTCAGTAAATAGCAACTCCATTCTTCTAGCTATTAGTCCAAAGCTTTGGAAAGACCCTGGATTATTTCTTTTCTTTAGGGCCATATCTCAATTACCATTGAAATATCTCTAGAATGTAATAATTTATCCACCATCTCCATTACTATTACTACAATAGTTGGGAAATTGAATAGCTTGTAAACTGGTCTCCCTGCCTCTATCTTTGTACCACTTCAAATTATTCTCCACATCGAACTAACAATGATCCTTTTAAAATGAAAGTTAGATTGCACCAATCTCTGCTCACAACTCTTCCAAACCAATATATTATGGTGCCCCTATTCTTATCTCCTATCATTTCTCCTCTTACTCACTGTGTGCTAGCCATGTTAGTTCCTTGCTTCTCCTTGAGCATGCCAAGTGCATTGTTCTTTAGGGTCTTTGTACGTGTTGTTTCATCTACTTGGAATATTATTCCCCAGATACAATAGCTTCAATCCCCCTCATTTCTTTCAGGTGTTTGCACCTCATCAGAGAAGTTTGTGTGAAATATTCTATAAGCATATTATACCATTTACCTATCAAACACATATCCCTATTGTATTTACTTGCTTATAGGTTCTTTTTCTAAGCAGAATGTAAGCTCCACAGGAGGATTTGTTCACTTACTATCTCTAGAATAGTATTTCACAAACTAGGAAATAAAAATGAATATTTTCTGAATTAAATGAATCATTTACTGGCAAAAAAGGAAATCCTTGGGTTACTATATCCTGTTCACAAATGACTTGATCTTTTCTTTGGAAACTTAAAGGTCTATATTCCAAAAGGTAAAAAGAAAAGGAATAACTACAAGCACTATAACTTGGTTACCTTAACTGCTATCCACAAATCCCTTCTTTGCTAGCCACACTGCAGCTAAAAGTGGCCATATGATATAGTTCTCATCAATGAGATACAAGAAGAAGTCTTTGGGGCCAGGATTCCTATTACAAATAAAAAGATAAAGGGATAAAGCTTTAAGAGGAGAAAGTTTTGCCCTTACACATTCTTTCTACTTGAAACATGGCTATATACTGGAAAGTGATATAGCCATTTTTCAATGATGAAGAAAAAAGAGCCGGAGTTCATGATGACAGTGTTGAGCAGCAGTACAAGCCCTGACCTGCCTGACTCCAGATTTTTGATATGTGAGACAGAAAGCTCCCATCTCTTTAATCCACTGCCTAATGATTTTATCTGTATCTCTCAGTAGTCTATACATTTCTGGTCACTGTAACTTATTCAATTTAGTTTTCCTAATTCTAGTAGCTTTTTTAGACATATTCACAGAATTGACTTAAAGATACGTCCCCAGTGAGTTTCCATTCTAAGATGAATGACATCGTCATAGGTACTCAAAGAAAAAAACATCAAAGATGTTTGTTCTTAGGAAATTTCTCCCCTTGGTCAATCACAGAATTACAAATTTTCAGAACTTTAAGGTTCTTAAAGACAATTTAGTGCTAAATATGAAAAAAATTTTCTGCTCACAATTTAAGTAAGTGAACAATTAAAGAAAGGGTTATAGATAATTTACTATTCTTTTTTTTAAAGATTTATTTATTTGTTTGTTTGTTTATTTATTTATACATACATACATACAAGCACTGGGTACAGTCAGAAGCCCGGGAGGGTGAGAGAATTCACCAGAGCCAGAGCAGGGAGCAGAGCAGGCAGAAGGACCGAAGTACACTGCTGAGAGGAGCAGCGGGCGGCAGGAGAGGTCTGCACGCCCGTGGAACCCTCCTCCGGTGGCAGGGGAGCAGGGGAGCAGCAGGGGATCGAACCGGCACTGCAGAGGCTGCAGGCAGCTTCGCAACCCAGCGCTCAACCGCTGCGCCACCGGGGAGGCCCAATTTACTATTCATTTATAGTTGAAAAGTAAATTTATTTACAACTCACTTTCAACAGTCCTAGCCTTATCATTCAAATGTCATAAAAACATATTGTCACAGGCAGTGTTATTGGAGACAATGACAGAGATAGGTGTTTCTGCTTTTTATTCATCTTTTCTCTAAAATATATTTTACTTTCTTTATGGTACTTAATTGTTTACGATCTTTTAAGAGCTGTCCTTCTAAAATACTTAGTTTTTAAGGGCAAAATTATACATTTTAACTTTAGAGTTTATTTGTTGCATATGCTTATAGAAGAATAGAATTTTCTTATTAGAAAGCAAGTGTGATTTCGGTAATACACACATCCATTTAGCAGTATGTATCAAGGGCCTCCCTGGTGGCGCAAGGGGTTAAGACACAGCCTATGAAGCTATCCGCAGCCACTGCAGCACGAGTTTGATCCCCAGCCAGGGAGATACCCACATGGCGCAGCAGAACTCACCTGACTCACCTGCTGCTCCCTCAGCAGTGTATTTCGGTCATTCTACCTGTTCTGTTCCTCACTGTCTCTGGTGAATCCTCTCATCCCCCACACCTCTGGCCTGTAGCCCAGTTCTTGCATGCATAAATAAATAAATCTTTTTTAAAAAAAGAAATATGTATCAAATATATTTTGTTAATTAGGCACAATTAGGGATCTGGGATAACAGAGTAAGCTATACCCTCCCATGAAGAACATTATAGCTCAACAGAAAGGATGTAAGTCAACAGAAAAACAAAAGCAGCAGAGTAGTAACATGCCCAACAGCTCTCTAACTATAGAGATAGGTAGTTCTCTCTCTTTTTTACTTGGAAATTTCAGTGTGGATATCAACTAGCTTGGAAAAATCTTTCCCATATTAAAATGTTTTCTTATGGCCATCTTGAAATGGAGCTGTTTAAATCAATAAAATTGTTTTTCCTGTTTCAAATATATCATTTTGAATATGCTAATTCTTAATATAGAAAGTATCTTGTTTTAAAATTCATTTTTTAAAATTTGAAGTAAATGAAGAAAAGATGTCTGTTTGGTCCAGTAGTTTTCTGGTGATGTTCACCAGAACATCTGATCCTTACTCATCTATGGTCTGGATGTTTTAGCCATTATTGAAAGTGGAATATTGAATTTTCCTACTATTATTATGTTACTATCTATTTTTCCCTTCAACTCTATCCATTTTTGCTTTTTCTATTTGGGTACTCTGACATGAGGTGGATCTATATTTATAATTATATCTTCCTGATGAATTGATTTTTTCATCATTGTACAATGTAAATCTTTATCTCATGCCAGTTTTTTAACATATTTTATGTAAAATAACATTTTCCATCTTTTCATGTTCAGCTTATGTATGTCTCTACATTCTAAGATAAGTTTCTTGTAGATACCATATAGTTGCACCTTTTTAAATAATAGTGCATTCAGTCATTCTGTGTGTTTTGATGGGAGCGTTTAATCCATTTACCTTTAAAGTTAGTGCTGATAAGGAATAACTTACTATCATCATTTTGTTGTTTTCATTGTTTCCACTCTTGATACCTTCCTTTTGTCTTGACTGTTATTTTTATTTATTTATTTTAAAAATAAATTTTATTTTTATATTCCCCATACAATTGCAATCCCCTTATTTTGACCCCAGTCCCTCCCCTCCCCGCCCCCACTCCCCACAGAGTGTCTCTGGTTCATAGTTTTTTGTTGATTTTGATTTTCACTTTCTTATAGTTATTCATTTTCCTGGTCCCTTATTTAAGTTTTCTAGCTTCCTGCTATGAGTGAGACCATCCGGTATTTTTCTTTTTTTTTTCATGCAAATTGCATGTGTTTATCTTTTTTGAATGCTGAGTAATATTCCATGGTGTATAAGTACCACATCTTCTTGATCCAGTCATCTATTTTTGGGCATTTGGGTTGTTTCCAAAGCTTAGCTATTGTAAACAGTGCTGCTATAAACATAGGGGTGCAGGTGCTCTTTGGAACTGATGTTTCTGTTTGAGTGTTATTTTTATACTGACCGTCTTTGATTTTTTACTCATTTTATTTTGTGTAGACTCTGGAGGTTTATTTTTGTGTATACTCTTGGCAGGGGGAAGTTATCTTGGAGCTTACACAAAATATCTTATAACAATCTATTTTAAGTTGAAAATAAACCACATACAAAAACTACTCTTTTCTATCGCCTCAATACCATTTTATGTTATTTAGTGTAACAAACTGAATCTTTATATATTGTGTATTCATGAACATAGTCTTAAAGTCTTTTTATGCTTTTATCTTTTAAATTCTCTA